GTTACAACTTAGAGTAGGGGTAGCATAAGTGGAAACACATGCACTATACAATATTTGACTGTTGCACCATTAAAGGGGTGGTTCATTGCGATTTCACTTTTTTAACGTTAGTTAGTGTGTAATGTTGCTGTTTGAGCATAAACAATATCTGCAAAGTTACGAAGCTGAAAGATCAATGCAAACGGAGATACCGTCTTTTAAAATTCTGGTAGTTTAATGCCTACAAAAACAGCTGGTAGGGACTACAACAAGTTACTTCCCGGGTTCGTTACATCACAAACCCCGATAAACCCCGCCCTCGGGAAAAGGCAGCAAAGGGGGCGAGGCCATGCTGTGCTGCTTTAGAGAAGAGGAAGAAAAAACTAGAGGTGCTAGTGCTGGGCGGTATGACCAAAAATTTATATCCCGATATTTTTCAAAATTATACCGGTTTCACGGTACATGACGGTATTTTTTTTTCCATGCATGACCGGGTGTTAACCATATTTTCTACTGATTGAGAGAGGAAATACTGCAGTATATTGACTTAGAATGCCCTATTCTGAAATAAAAATAATAATTATCAGGCATAGTAAAAAGCCAGCATGGAAAATTCAGAAATGAGGAGAGGTGGAACTGTGCCAATAGTTGGACAAGGCGTGATTGTAGGGTGGGACGAGAGACAATGAGAGAAACTAGAGGAGAGAGAGATGTGGTACAAACTGTTATCAACCTTTTAGAATGTTACACCAAGCGGCACAAGCCACTGTGGGCCAATGCCAATTATATGTCCACACAGTTTATTTAGTGTGTGCCTGTAGACAGTGCTGTTACTCTCCTGGGCCCTCACTCCTGCTGTGCCCTCAAAGACCTATGTCCTGATCAGGTCCACGATGTGTTCGGCTCTTATTGAGCTTAAAGTCAAGGGTCTTGGTCTTGGACCTGACAGAAAGTGACAGAGTCGCGCTCCCAACACCCCATCATGGTCAGAACACCATAACCTCTGTTTAACCGACCTTATAATGCATTTTAAACGCCTGAGGGTCAAATGTCAAGTAAATAACACAAGGATGCAGTATCTGTGGTGCTGGGGATGCTTGGTGAGCAAAGGTAAACTTTTGCCATCTGACTGCTCTTCCTCTGTCCTTCCTGTTTGTCTTTGTAAGTCTCCTCCCACACGCTCAGAGCTGCAGGTGCTATTTTTCCACACAGGATTTGGCACAGTATAGTAGGCTATTTGTCTAAATTCAGTGACTGCTGGAATATTGCCTTCCTTATTTGTTTGACATTGTGATAAAGCAGGGCTGGATCAGCAAGGACCAAGGGGCTCAAATAGACTCCCAAAACCACTAAATGGCAAAAAATCTATTTCTTTGACAAGCATTATAGTCATGTAGATAATAAAACTCTGAAAATCTGTATCATATTATCCTATAATCTAACTAGTGAATACCAAAGGATTTCATGTAACGTTTCCCAATTTGATAAAGCAACACATCTTAATTCAAGTTTTTTTTTTTTTGTACAATAGTACAGCAAAACCAAAAGGATTTTTCAAGTGCAACAATTCAAATCTTTGTCCGAGATTAATTCTGTTTTGATTCGTACATATTTATGTATACTCTCAATGTCCTGTAGGATAATACGGATTATAGCGAGCTTTAAAAAAGTGGAAGTCAAAAACAATCTTTCATTTTCTGTGTCTGTCATTATTTCAGTATTTGTTTATTCACATTTACATGAGTCAGTTTCAAATGGCATTTTCTTTCAATCTGGGCTGCAAACCAGCCTGAACAGTTGGCATGTTCTGAAAATGACCTTGATATACGCTTTCTCCTTGTCACTCAGAAAGCTATTAGTCGCAAACTCAGACTAAAGAAGATAATTTCACATTTACAATGCACTGATATGTCATCTTCAGACATATATAAAAACAATATTTTTTACCATGTAAGGACTGAGTGGTGAAGAAACGCTACTGTTAATGCAGGATTTCAGTCATGTACACTGTGTATACGATTGATTTGATATGATGAACTTACTTTAATTTATATAAGAAGCATTACATTGATCAAAGGTTACAGTAAAGATATTTAATATTACAAAAGACTTCTATTCATCAAAGAATCATGAAAAAATATATATGATGGTTTCTTCAAACTGTTTTCAACACTGATAAATATACAAAATGTTTCTTGAGCACCACATTGGCAGGGTTTGAAATTAACGGGCGGGTTACTTGTCGTAAGTTATGTTTCATTTCTCATTTCTTTGGGAAGTTCATGCAAGCCAAATCTGCGCAGGTTTAGCGCAAATACTGAACACATCATGACATATGACATTATCGAGTATATTGCAAAAACCAAACAAAACACACCTAAGTTACAAAGTGCACGCATACGCGACGTGATGTAGTCTGGTTAGACTAACTTTGTGCTGTGCGCATTAAGAGTGCATTCTTTCATTGCATGATTCAGTCTGTTAATATGCATTACGAATGATCACATAATTCAAGATAAGGGGGTTGGAAAATGTATATATTTATATCAATTCATATAGTTAATATCACACGAAGAGTGCCGTTTATATAAACAATGTTAATATCAAGAGACTTACGTTTTAGACACCATATTGGCTGTTTTTGCGTTATTTCGCCAACAGAAAACATTCCATTCCAATGTACAACATTCCAAACACAGCGCTGTTTTGAGTCTCTGAGCAAAATCAACCGTTTAAATGATTCGGTTCATTCGCAATGACTCACTTAACAGTGACTTGCTGCCACTTACTGGCGGATTTAATTTCACATTTAAAGTATCTTTTAATTTTTAAAATTATTTAAATATCACTATTCAACGTTTCATGTTTAAAATGTCAAAACATTATTTATGCATTTGTAACTGCAGGTTAAAGCATGCCATGTCCATTAACATGTGCAAATACATCTAAATGCCACTTCATATTCAACTTCTGCAAAGATGAATTTTATTGATACTGATTTCATTTGTTTAGTAACAGCCTAAATGTAGTATTGCTATAATTGCCTGATTAAATGTAAGAATTTGACTCAAAAGATGA